TCTTCGGTCAGAGATGGAATGGAAAAGCTGATGCAAGTAACAAGGTAAAGGCTTTCGGAAAGGCCCATTAAAGGGCCAGACTCAGACTAGAGACAGCTCTGCCAAGTTGCAAAGCAATGAAATAATGAGTGGCAGTTAAAATACTGTTTTGCTCCCGCTAAAAGCAGTTTCAGCCATTTCTTTATTTTCTGTGGAGAACTGGAAAGGCAGGGGAAGCTCGTGGGACCTCAAAAATGGCCTGACCTCCACCTCCACTTTTCCCTTTTTCTCTCTTTTTCACATTCCACTTGAGTAGGCTCTGCAGTTATATCCTCCAGGAAGGTTGGCTCGGGCTCAGAATCAGGGCAAGATCAAGAAAATGGTGAAGGAAACTGAGTACTATGAAGTTCTTGGTGTGAGTCCATCTGCTTCTGAGGAGGAGATTCGCAAAGCTTATTATCTTAAGGTTTACTTTCAACTTCTTCTTTGCTTTTTCAACTATTTAATTATTAATTATTGAAGAATTTTTTATGTATTCCTATAGTGATTTAGTGAGGATTGAGATGCATATTCTTGACATTATTGTCTTTAATTACCATCAAGATCAAGCAGAAAGAATTAGATATCCTATAATTTATTTCTATGCATTTATGGTTCCATCATATGTTTTGATGCATCTGTTGAATCTGTATCCTGATTTTTGTTTTCATTTATCCTCTGAACTCTCTCTCTTTAGATCCCCAGTGAACTGATAGGGCAAGTTGCTTTTGATACTAATTTATATGTTTTAATGAGTTGCAAATTCTTTCAACTACTTGTTCCGTAATTTGAGAACATTAAGAAGGGATTTATTGTTGGTGCAGGCAAGGCAAGTTCATCCAGATAAGAATCCAAATGATCCTCGGGCTGCTGAGAGATTCCAGGTAAGTCCACTTATTCTGTCACTAGTTTTTATTTCTTTCCCACTAATGAATTACCCATGTTCTGTATTCACAAGTTTGAAATGGCCGCTTTGATTATGTGGAAGAATGAGGAAAATGAAAAGAAAAATCATCCAATCTGTCTTTTTTAAACAATGGCTTCAATTGTCCGTTCCATGCTTGATGCATGACTAGGTGTGCATGCACGTAGCTAGTAGGGGCATGTTTAATGAAACAAGCTGTCTTGTTTTGCTCCCCATAGTTGATGAAGTAATAATTCTTGATTTCTGCAGGAATTAGGTGAAGCTTATCAAATTCTGAGTGATCCAGTCCAGAGAGATGCATATGATCGAAATGGAAAGCACTGCATATCTAAGTAAGATTGTTGCTTCTACTAATATTCATATGTATCTTGGATAGCTTCCATACGAGACTTTCTTAACCTCCCTTGTTATGTAACCATAATGAAAATGAATAGCTAGCTGATTGATTTTTAGTTTGATAGTTACTGATGGAGTTGATTTTTAGTTTGATAGTTAGTGATAGAACTGTTGGCACTAGCATTAAGTTGTTAACTAATTTGATGCACATCAGGGAAACCATGCTTGATCCTACAGCAGTCTTTGCACTTCTCTTTGGAAGTGAATTATTTGAGGACTATATTGGACATCTAGCTGTAGCGTCAATGGCCTCTCCTGAATTAGCTGTGGAAAGCAGCAATCCTGAAAAACTACAGGATACGTTGAAGGCAAGTATGCTTTGAAACAAACTATTACAATAGCCAGCACTGAATCCCACTTTTCTTAAATGTGACAGTGATGAGTATTATAGGATGGCTTTGGCAAATTTTGTTTATGTTAGCAGCTCCTACTTAGTTTAAATAGTGCCCTTTTCAAACTCTAAGGGGGTTTCAGCATGAAATCATTTAATGCAGGCTGTT